GCTGCCAGGTCTGGGACTTGAACCATGGTCAACCATGTGAGAGTCCAGTGCCCTTAACCACCATGCCACTTGCTGGCCCCAAGGATGAAAAATTTCATGGGATAAAAACTGCAATTATTTCTTCAAGGAAATAACCATTTACCAGTCCATTAGTTTGATATTTTTACTTGACAACTTACCGATATATTTAGATTGCTCTTCTTGGTTTGTTGTCAAATTACTGCCTGATGATAGGAATAATGGCCTTTGAAGCCCAGCTGTGGTGGCACAGGCAGCAGGGGCACCACTGCGTGATGCTGGAGGCCACATGGGAAGGCTCTGGCTTTGGATCCTAAGTCAACCTGAGCATGCAAGATGGCCTTGCAGGCACATCTGTGATCCTTGCTGGCTGCAGGGATGGGAGGAGGATTGTAACATGGGGACCCTGTTGAGGGCGCTGGTGTCTCTCTGCCCCTTTTTGTCCTCTTTGTCTCTCTCTCTCATGGAAGAAATAAACTTAAAATTTTAAAACTAAGGGTTTATTTTTTTAAAAAAGAATTATTTTATTAACTTTATTTATTATTATTATTTTAATTTGATCAGAGAGAGAGAGAGAAAGTGAGAAAGGAAGCCACCAGGTCAGGACTGTAATTGTGGTAGGCCATGTGGGAGTCCAGTGACCCTAACCACCACACCACCTGCCGGCCCCAAACTAATGGTTTCTAATTGTATAAGCATATGCACACCATTGTATTTCCTTTTTAAAAAACTGTATTTTCTGCACCAGCAGGTGGTATAATGGCTATATCACTGGACTCACACGTAGTTGACCGCAGTTTGAGTCCTGGACCTGGTGGCTTAAACTCAACGCTGGGCGCATGTGCGTGTATGCCCAAGATTCTGAGGGGAGAATAGAGGAAAAGGGATTGTAGCATGGCCATCTCCCCTGGGGGGGTGATTTCTCGCTTTCTATCTCTCTTTCTCTTTCTGGCGAGCGCGCATGCCCTATAGCAAAAACCTCTTTAAAAAAATTGTATTTTCTAATGGGACCCTCTTTATCAGTATATAAACAGAGGTAGAACACACATCTCAACGTTTTACTAACATTAATAAATATTCCTCCATACAAAAATGACAAATAGATGGGCTGGCAGGTGGTATGGTGGTTAAGGGTGCTGGACTCCCATGTGGCCAGCTGTGGTAAGTGCTGGACCTGGTGGCCTGCTTTTTCACTTTCCCTCTCTCTCTGTCTCTCGCTGATCAAACTGAAAAATAATGATAATAACAAATAAAAGTTAAACAAAATAATTCTTAAAAAAGGACAAATAGAAATGGACAAATTTGTACCTTGGCAACTTTTTTTAATCGTCTCTCCCTTTATAATACACTAGTTCAAGTTCTGCTTCATTCTGGTGATATAAAACAAATAGCTGTTCAAAAGTCCTCCTATCTCTGTACACAGGGGCCCTGTTACTAATGCCTGGAAGAGGACCAGCCCTATATCCTAATGGAGAGGGAGTTAGATCCCCCACATGGCTGACCACAGTTTGAACCCCAGCCCCAGTACTTGGAAAACACCCTGGGCACATGCGCCCCAAATCCCTACAGGATGGAGAAATGGGGGAGAAGGATGCGTGCTGTGGCTGCCCATGGGGTGCTTTCTCCCTCTCACTGTCTCTGTCTTTCTCTGTCTACTGCATGTAAAATGCCTGGAGGAAGCAAAGCTAAACTGAGCCACTGAGGAGAGGAGTTTTAGAACAATTTAAGGATTCAGTACAACTAAGATTTCTGATTTAAATGCATGCCACATTTCAAAGTGAGAGCCTAGGATTTAAGTCAAGTGCTGTAATTAGAACAAACTCCCTTGAGAAAGATCATTTCAGAAATTTCTATAGGAATTTAATTTTAATGTTTAGAGGTGGTAATAATGGTTGCATTATTTATAATGTGCTCCTTGAGTTCCTGGTGTGTGCCTAGTAAAACACTATGGAGAATAGAAAATTAAATGTAACATATAAAATGTTGCAAGTTATTTATTGCAGCATTGTTCATGATAACAAATTATTAAAAACACCCCATCCGTCCATCAGTACCGGGAACTGATCAAGTAAACAATAGTCCATCCACACCATAGAATGCTGTTGGGTGGTCAGGAAAGTCATGATGTATTTTTCTTTATTTTTCTATGCAAAAATGTGTCATGACTTTTCCAACATCCCCATGTCTAGCCACCAAAAAAGCAAACACAGAAATGAGTCTCTATATACTGATAGGAACAGATCTCCAGGACATATTTAAATAGGAATAAAAGTCCAAGGAGCCTTCCTTGTTTAAGAAAGTCAATGAATAAAGTATTTGCATAAAGAAAACTCTAAAAAATGCAAAAAACCAATGAAGGTGGTTATCATTAGGGTGAGAAATAATAGAGCAGAGAAAAAATAAAAGCAAGATTTTTAAAATGCTTTTTTTTTTTTTCTTTCTTAGAGATTTTTGCTATAGGGCAGGTGTGCTTGCCAGAGAATCAGAGAGACAGAAAGCAAGAACTCAACCCCCAAGGGGGATGGCCACATTGCAATCCCTTCTCCATTCTCCTCTCAGGATTTTGGGCATAGATGCACAACATGAGTTTTAAGCCAGCGGGTCTGGGACTTGAACTATGGTCGACTCCGTGGGAATCCAATGACATAACCATTATGCCATCTGCTGGTCCCAGTGTTTAGGTTTTTGAGCCAGTTGAAAAAATGATTAAAAAGAGAAATAATAGATCTGACCCTGCGGCATGGTGGTTAAAGGAGCTGGATCCCACATGACTGACTGTGGTGTTGAGTCCTGGCTACGGCAGCTTGGGAAACATGCCAGCTGTGAGTATGTTATTTAAATTACTAAAGGTAATCCGCCAGGCTTAAGTCAGGTGCCCATCCGTCCCCTCTGGGAGGTGATTTCTTGTTCTGTCTGTCTGTCTGGTCAGCTATGTGGGGAAGGGGAGTGATGCTCCTAGAGACAAAGCTGTGAGTGGGGTGAGCAAGAGAGGTAGGGCTGGACAGACACTCTCAACTACAAAAACACTGAGGTTAGGCAAAACCTCAGCCCCACACCAAGAAAGAGAATGACTGCAGTGACAAGCATTGTTATGACAAGAAACAGTGACTCATTTTTCTCATCCATTTGGCCTTTGGATTCTCTTGCTGGACTTTCCGCATGGCTTGGTGGGCTCTAGAAAAGGGGCTGCAGTACATAGATAGACTAGGAAGCTGCTTGAATGCACCATTTGAAAGAAATCATTCTGACCCTTTCCCCCCACCTACCTCCTTGCTTTTCAGCCAGACTGATTCATCAGAATCTCTGGGTATGAGGTCCCGTGGCATTAAAAGTGTTTAAAAAGTTTATCAGGTGTGGGCCAGTGGTGGTGCAGAAATTAAGGTGCTGAATTCCACATGCCTGGCTGCTTAGTATGAGTCCCAGACCTGGCAGCTTGAAAGTGACACTTGGTGTGTATGAGTATGTGCCTAAAATCCTGAGAGGAGAATGAAAGAGAAGGGACTGCAGTGTGGCCATCCCGACTGGGGGATGATTTCTCACTTTCTCGCTCTCTATCCCTCCCCCCCCCACCCCCCCGGCAAAAACCACCAACACAGATACACACACACACAGAGATCATCAGGTGTTTCTAACGGGCAGTCACACATGAGAACCATTTTACTAGCAAAGCATATGACGGGAAATAACTATTGAAAGCAAAGTTATGTATCACTGATGTAATTCCCCTACTAAAGTTTTTATATGGACATTTAGTGATTTATTCAACAAAGATTTTAAGCACTTCTTGCTAAGCTCATTGCTCACTTGCAATGCTTATTTATAATAGTAAGTTAAAAATGGTAACTACCAGGATCTGTAGGTGGTGTGGTGGTTAAGGTGCTTGGACACTCCCACAAGGCAGACCACGGTTTGAGTCCCAGACCTGGTGGCTTACTTTCTCACTTACCCTCTCTCTCTTTGGTCAAATTAAAATAAATGAATGAGGACCAGCAGATGGTATAATGGTTATGTCACTGGGCTCCCATGTATTATTATTGACCGCAGTTTGAGTCCTGGACCCAGTGACTTAAACTCACGCCAGGTGAATATGTGTGCATGCCTAAAAGCCCAAGAGGAGAATGGAGAAGAAGGGATTGTGGCATGGCCATCCCCTCAGGGGGGTGATTTCTTATTTCTGTCTGTCTCTGTCTCTTCAGGTGAGTACATGCACCCTATAGCAAAAATCTCTCCATAAAACAAGCAAAAAAACAAAACCAAAAAAAAACCCAAATGAACAAATAAAATTAAATAATTATTTTCTTTAAAACAAAATGGTATCTACCTTCATGGAATTTCTAGTCCACTGAGGGAGACAATCTCTAAGCATCCACAGCTATAATGAGGCAACTGTAGGAGGTTATGAGACTCTCTAGAAGGAGCACTTTGGGTGACAAATGAGGCAGTCAGAGAAAGCTTCTAGACGAAGTATGATTCAAGTGCGTGATGCTTAATTTGTTATTCTTGTTGCAGATAACACTCTACTCTCTTTTTAGATAACCTATTCATGGAACTTTTTTCTTTTTCTTTAAGGTGACTCATATTCTCAATGTTGCATGTGGAGTTGAAAATGCTTTCCGGAATGACTTTACATATAAGAGCGTTTCTATATTGGATCTGCCTGAAACCAATATCCTGTCTTATTTCCCAGAATGTTTTGAATTTATTGAACAAGCAAGAATGAAGGTGAGTTTCATTTGATCCTCGGTTGCTCAAAAGCAGAATTTGAAAATAAGGGTTCATGACTCAAGTCTTATTCTTTTTTTGGTAATGAATCTCTTAGGACTCATTATGAAATTTCTCCTCCAATAGTATTTTATTAATTCCTATAGTTATTTGGCTCTCTAATTGTTCTTTTATCAATAAGATATTTATGCTTAATTTGTTATTATTTTTAAAAATTTAGTTATTTTAAAAATTATTTATTTATTTATTTATTATTACTTTTTAGTTTGACTAGAGAGAGACAGAGAGAAAGAGAAAGTGAGAAAGCAAGCCACCGGGTCCAGGACTCCAACTGCAGTTAGCTATGTAGCAGTCCAGCCCCCCAACCACCATGCCACCTGCCAACCCCTTTAATCTTAATTTTATTTCTCATCTTCCTATTCTTACTGAGAAATGTTAGGACATGGAGTTCTCTATTTACATAAATAAGCAGATTTCCTTTGAGGGCTTATAACCATTTGGTCTCTGACCAATTTGTAGGACAGTGAGGTGCTATAGGATAGAGACTCTTCTAGTCTTGTTAGTGTGTTTATTTCAGTGATTAAGGTAGATTGTAAGTCCATTTATTTTAACAATAAGATGTTGAGGCACTGTAAGAACTAAGTGTGGATCGCTTTACTGAGCTTGTATGAAAATTCTGATCGAAAGCTATCCATTGGTTTTCTGATGTTAGGAAATCAACAGATAATATAATTTTGATATTAGATTCAAGTCAACATTCAGACAGGCAGGGATTCCAGGCTGGCTATTATCAATCATTGTACCACGGGGACCAGCAGGTGGCATGGTAGTTAAGGGTGCTAGACTCCCATGTGGTCAGCTGCAGTTTGAGTCCCGGACCTGGCGATATGCTTTCTCACTTTCTCTGTCTTTCTTTTTCTCTCTCTCACTCTGTCCCTCTCTGATCAAATTAAAATGAAAAAAAAAAAAAGTTAAATAAAACAATTGTTTTTAAAAGATAATTTTACCGTGAAATGACATAATTTTTAGTCAGCAAATAAATCTAACAAACTTTATGTAAGATAAATAGATGAGAAAGTAGAAGCAGTAACAGAAGTAATCCTTCTGGAATATCTAACAATGACTGGATCAAGATTCATTGGAATCTAATTGAATTCTGGTCTAATAGTCTCCCTTCTGTGTTCTCTGCATCAACTTTTTTCTCTCCTTTACTTTTATTTAATAAGGTTGATTGTGTTTTTAGCATTGTTCTAGGTATAGAAAGGTACCTTTCTACTAGATTACCTGGAAGATACAAAACTATTCAACTCTGCTGTTCATCAGTTGCTTTATTTATTTATTTAGGTTTTTGCCATAGGGCATATGCTCTTAAGAGAGAGATACAGAGAGGGAGAAAGTGAGAAATCATCCTTGCTGTGGGGTGTGTGGGGTATAGCTACACTGCAGTCCCTTCTTATCTAGGATTTGGGCATGCATGCACGTGCACCGAGTTTGAGTTCCAAGCTGCTGGATATGGGACTTGAGGCACAGTTGGCCATGTGGGAGTCCAGTGCCTTAGCCACCAAGCCACCTGCTGGCCCCTTTCAGCTTTATTTAGTGGCAGATATTTGGATTGAAGCAAAGGAAGAAGCTTTATAATTCAGAGCCCAATATTGGTTGTTCTGTTCTCTTATAAAATGTTTTATAGGTACTAGGTTATGTACCAGTTAATAGTGTTACAAGTAAAAATATGGACCAGCTAGTGACCTGGTGATTAAAGTGACTGGATTCCACATAGCCAACCACACTTCGAGTCCTAGATTCAGGGGCTTGAAAAACATGCTGGGTGGATGTGCTTGTGTGATCCCAGGAGGAGAAATGGAAGAGAATGGATTGTGGCGTGACCACCCTCATGGGGAGAGCTTTCTTATTTTTCTTCTTTCTTTGTCTCTCTGGCAAGAATGTGGCAAGCACACATTCTTCTAGTAAATACACACACACGTTTTTCTACATTAGCTGCTTCTCTAAGAAGATGTAGAATATGCCTTGATGATAAAAGTGTAGCTATCATCCATATTCATACTAAAGTGAGAAAATATGTGCATGTTGCAAATAAAAGTTGCAGAGGGTAATAATATCTAGAATGAAAAGCAAGATCTAGCGCTGTAGCCCAGTAGCTAAATGCTATGCAAAGGCTGCTAGATCTCACATGGCTTGCTGCAGTTCATATGTTGACCTGATGGCTTGAAAAACATGCTAGGCATGTGCACAGGTGTCCAGGGTCCTGACAGGATGGAGAAATGGAGGAAAAAAGGATTTCAACTTGACCAGGCTTGGGGGAGGGGGCGGGATGCTCTTTTTTTGCTCTGATGTGCACACATGCACTCTCTAGTAAAAAAGAACGAGGAAAAGAGAAAAAAAGAAAGAAAGGCAAGGAATTGAGGAATGTAGTAAACTCTGAAATTAAAAAGAAAAAATTAAATAAAGTTTGCCTTAATTTGGGCCAATAGTTAATTAGAATGTTTCTTAGTTTGGATTTCCTAAAAACAGCCTGAGGCAAGGACTTTAAGAGCTGATGCTTAATTTGAGAAGTACAGTCTGTTAGGCAGTGAAAGTGAGAAGAGAAGAAAGTTACTTAGGTGGGATGAGAAGCATGCAAGGTGATGTGTCTACCGTACCGAGCTCTGTTCCACCATGACCTGACAGAGAAGTACTTGGGTGCTCAGCAGGTTCGGTGCTCTACCATCCATGACATCTCCAGACAAGGCAGTACAGAGAAACAGTCCCGCAATCCAGACTCTGGAGGAAAGACAGAATTTATCTGCCTGGCTCTGGCAGTTTTTTCTTTCCCCTGGTCAAGTTTACTGACAGGAAGACAACCGATCCCACAATTCCAGGTTGCAACACCGCACTCCTTTAGCAGCCACC